TGATGGGATATCCTTTGTAGGTAACTTGACGTTTCTCTCTTGCCAGTCTTAGTATCTTTTCTTTGTCTGTGGTTTTGGTCAATCTGGTTATAATGTGTCTCAGAGAAGATCTTCTTGGGTTGATTCTATTTGGGGTCCTTTGTATTTCTTGGGACTGGATCTTTGAATGCCTCTCTAAGTTGGGAAAGTTTTCTTCCAGGATTTCATGGAATAGATTGTCAATGCCCTTAAGAATCTCTTTCCTTTCTGGAATACAATTATACAGATGACTGGACGTTTAATAGCATCTAGTATTTCTCGTATATTACTCTCATTTTTGGGGGCAATTTTCTCAGTCTTTGTGGTGGATTTTTCTAGGCCAGCGATTCTATCTTCTACATCTGAGATTAAATTTTCAGATGATCTAGTCTGCTTTTAATACTTTCAAGGGAGGTTTTGACTTCCTGTATTATAGTCTTCATCTCTAACAGGTCCATTTGATTCTTTATAGTGTGAATTTCCAATTTTAGATCTTGCAAGAATTTCCTCATCTCCTGAAGCTCATCAGCTTCTTTCCCCTGCCTCTTCGGCAGTTCATTGTCTCTTTTCTCTTTGATCTCTATGAGCTTTGTCACCATGAAAATTCTGAATTCTTTATCTGACATTTCTATGAATTTCATCATACTATCTGAGGATGAAGAGGAATTATTATTTTTCCTTGGAGGAGAGGTATTTTTCTTGTTTTTCCATATTTATTGTGACCCTGAAGTGATTTCTAGTCATCTGATGGATGGTGCATTTCTCCCTAACTCTTGACGTTCAATCTGAGCATTCAGAGGCATGCAGAACGAGGTGATCTGCAATCTCTCTTACGTTCCATTTTCACTCTTTGTGCATCAGAATCAGTGGGAATAGTGTAATATTCTGACCCTAATTGTATTCAGATGTTTAGATCCTGTGCACTTGGGTGTGTAGGAGCTGAGAAGCCAGTGAATAAAGAAAAAGGAAAAGAATTAGAGAAGTGGAAAGAAGAGGAAAATATAAAATAAAAAGAAGAAAAAAGATTGTCAAAAATCTTTAGATTTTAATTTTAAAAGTGAAAACTGAATTGAGAAAACTTAATCTTAAAAAATTAAAATAAAAAAATGAAAAGACGTAGTGAGACAGAGAGAGACAAGAGAGAAATGGAGGAAAGGAGGCAAGCAGTACTACCCACTAGAAATGAGTGTGGAGTGGGAAGTCTCGACAGAAAAATCTTCATTTTAAGTCCCTGAAAGCAATATTTCACAGCTGAAGTTCAGGATCCATGTGAAGATGGGCCTGGATTTGTGCCTTTCTAGAAATGAGTGTCGAGGGCAGTATAAACTTCTTAATAGGGAATAGCCACCATTTATTCAGACCTTACTATGTATCAAATTATTTGCTACATTTCCAGCTTACAGTTAAGAAAATGGAATGTATAAGGCCCCTTATTGGCTGGTTACTTAATTCAAAAATACACGTTCTCAGTCACTGTGAGCCACTGCCTCTTCTTCAAGTCTGGTTCTCACTTTTCTTTTTCATTCACTTTCCCCAACAGATCTATACATCATCTGTAACTGCTTGTGGATCTCTGAATCTTCCCTGTTCTTTTGCACATGCATTCTTTTGCACATGCTACTTCCTTGACCAGGAGTGTTCCTGTATCTGCTAAAGACCATACCTATCCTAATATTTCTTTAATACTCACTCTGTTTCTTCCATTCTTAGCAAGCATGCTACTTCCCCCACCCTCTAATCCCCTCTGGCTAAACTAAAAACTTTTTTTTTTTCCTGCATTCCATAGAACATAACACACTGGAAAGTCCCTAAGGGCCCTTAAAGTGTCTTAGTCATTTTTTCATTTTATGAAATAAGAATATTTCTCAATACACAGTAGGCATTCAGTAATTATATTGAGTAATTAAGTAAATGAATAAATCATGTTAAAATTAATCAGCATTTAGATATCAGACAAGTTGAAACATATATAATAAAATGTCAAAAGCAACACGAAAAATGTCAATATTTTTCTAAGTGAAAATGAAACAACAGTAATCGCTACTAATAATGCTTAGAGGCCTGGTTACATCTGCTCAAAATTAACTTACTTGATGGCCAATTAAATATTAAGACTACACTGAGTCAGACTCAGAGCACAGCTAAAAGATGGTAAAACAAAATTTATCTTCAACTCTTGAATAATGTTGGTACTATGCTTGACTTAGTACTAAGTATCTTTTATTGCCAAAGATGTTTTGCATCTGGAGAAAGAAGGGGAACACACGCACACAGGTTGGGAATTTCAAACCTGATGTCTATATAGATGTAAGGGGAATGTGTACTTAATATGTACTTGATTCTAACTGTTCTGTGACAACCAGCACAAACACGTAACTCAAAATGGGTTGAGTATGTCAACGCCAGGCCTGCTGGACATTTTTTAGTTTGCATAGTTTATGATTATAATTTTAAGCAGAGAATGTACAAAACTGGTATCTCAGAAGCTGCACGGTAAGTAACATAAATGTCATGTTGAAGATAGCCTTTTAAATATACAGAGGCCCTGAGTGATTTTGGTTGTGTAAGTTCCTCCATTCTGTATCAACATTGTAAAAATAATAAATGGTTGTGATATTTCACCCCATTGAGCATATTTCTGACATTTGCAAAATCTCACTGATTCTTTGGTACAAAATGCATATTCTATCTTTGACTTTGAAATAACAACTTATCATAGAAGAATGAAGAAACTATTTCTACTGCTGATTTTATTGAGTTAATTTCAACTTGTTACTCAGAACAAATCATATCACCACAAACATAACCAAACAAAATACTTAAAAACCCAGAAAGACAGGGCAGGGCAACAACAACAGAACAACTACATAAAACAGGGAAAACAGCCAAGAAAAACAAAATGTGATTCCAACAATATAACACTTTAGTAGTTCTTTTTTATTCCTCTAGCTACACATCCATTAAGGAGAAATGACTCACTGTCTTTATAGACTACATAAAGCAGTTTATTTATTTATTTTTTAAAACTATGATTGTCTACCTAATTTCCTAAAGGGGGACAACATTATTGTTAATGTTTTTTTGACTGTAGTGAAAGCACTGCCTTTGAAAACAGAGGCTCTCTCTACCTAGTGCCAGATCTAT